ACAGGATGTTTCTTTTCTACACCAGAGACAGATTTCAGAAGGCACTGGGGTTGGGTGGGATCTAGCTTCCCTGGCCCAATGCAGCCTGTCCTAGGCTCCTACCTTACTTGGAGTTTACATCTTTTGGTCACCACTATCCCTGTCCACTCTCCATGCCCACCATGTCACTTTTTGGAATCTTTCTTTTTCATAAACCATCTCAGCTTTTACCACCTCCACAGAACACATCCTGATCACCTGAGAGGAAGGTCCGAGCTGGGCACATGCTGGGCAAGAGCGTTTCAGGCAAAGAAGTGCTGAGATCGAGATCGCAGGGGAGAGTGTGGTCACAGCATCACTGCTACTCCCACCTGCCTGAGGCTTGCATGCATGCCTGCTCTTCTGCTTTCCCCACTAAGCTTAGGGGTTGAGGCTGAGGACCTTAATTTAGTAACAGGACCTATATAGCTGCCACTATGTTGCTAGCAGATCTGCCACACTGGACTCTCTGGGATATCTTGTCTTGTGTTATTTCATTTAATCCTCATCCAAACCGAGAGAATAGGTATTGCTTTACTTGTCACAGATGTATCCCCAGTGCCTAGTTTAGGAGCTCAAGTAAATGTTCCGTGAATGTCTTTTTAAATGCCTGAATGATTAGTGGGCTATTTGAATTACCAGGTCCACAGATGCTCCTGTTGATTTTTATGGAAATCGACTCCTTTGCCAGAGAAATGCATCGTCCCCCTCGCTCATTTAGGGGCCTTCAGAAGACTGTTCATTCATATCTGTTCCTGTCTGTCTGTGCTGGTCCCCACCTAGTCCCTTCCAGAAGCAGCAGCACCCCCATATCCCAGATAACAGAGATCCAAGCTTGGAGCCCCTGGGTAGGTCCTCTGGTTGCACAACAGAATCTCAAGGCCTGGGGTTGGAGCCCAAGCCTTCTGCCTGACTTCCCACTGCTCCCCCCGACAGAGCATCAGGATGGCCAGTGTTTAAAGATGGAATCCAGACCCTTGTATGGAGTGATGTAAACAAGCTCAGGATGTTCTGAGGAGGAGCAAGGTCAGAAAGTGCTTTGAGGGCTGGATTTCCTCACCATCCTGTCTCTCAGCTGATCTGTCCCTAGGCCCTGTCCTGTCTGGGATGCAGTTGTAAGGAAGGGGAAGTCTCCAGCCCCCAAAGCTGGCTATCCCCTCCTGGATGGAGGCTGCTCCACTCAATGATCCTGGGTGCCACTGGCTGCATGAGCAGAGTGAGCTTCCAGCAGCCTAGCCTGCTGTGTCAATGTACTTGGCCTCTGGGCACAGGGCTCCGGGTTCACACAAGAGTCATATCCCTGCCTTAGAAGCTTATCTCATATTTTAAAGAACATAGACACATAAATGTCTAGCATGTGTCAGGTATGTAGATGACATTTGACACATGATACTTAGACATTTTTAAAGGCCAGAACCTGAACTTGAGGTTTACTTCAGAATGTGCTTTGCTATCTGGGCTGACCTGGTTCCTGAGATTGCTCAATGGCGGCAGCACAGGGAGAACCAATGAGCCAAGGAGACCCAGCTCCTCCCCACCACACTCCAGCCCCTCCCCACCGCACCCCAACCCCTCTCTAGTACACCTCAGCCCCTCTTCACTGTATCTCAGCCCCTCCTTACTGCACCCCAACCCCTCCCCACTGTACCTCAGTCCCTCCCCACT